GGCTCGATCCCAGTGGGGGGCGTGCCAGAAGGCAACCTGATCAATGATTCTTCTGTCATCATGGATGTTTCCTATCTCTCACTCCCTCCTCTCTCCTCTCTGAAATCAATAAAGATATATTTACAAATAAATAAACATTTTTTTAAAAAGTGGCTCACGCCATTTTCAGGTTGCTTCCAAATTTGCTAGAGCAAGCATTTCCCCATGCTTTTCCAGTCTTTACAATTATACTGGTAAGGGATGCATGATATTTGTCTACGATTGATGAATCATGATTCACAGGAACCCAGCCCGCATTGTTGGTTGCTTCTTGATTTCTCCCCCGCAGCAGAGAAGCCTATAGTGAATGTGTACTTGTCAATAGTTTTTTTTTTCCTTCAGTTGCTTCATTTCCTTAGAATAAACTCCCAGGAGGGAGAGAACAGAGTGAAAGGGCATGCCGATTTCTGTGGCCTTTGCTACATAATGCAGTGTTGTTTGCCTAAAGAGACAATGTCTGTTTCTGGCTCTAAGACCCAGTCTGTTAACTCCTGGTAACATCCTTCCCGTTCCCCCTCAGCCTTCACATGAAGATAAACACGGACAGCTAGAAAAGCCAGCCGGAGAGCCTGGGATGGGGAGACTCGGGGTCGGGGGGTCCCCCAAACTGCCGCCCCCACCCAGGCCAGACGCACAGGCTGATGGCAACCACTCACGTGAGCTCTGGGTAGACGTTCTCCAAGTACCAGCGGAAGGACTTGCAGTTCATCTTCTTCCTCTGCTCGATCCTCGAGGCCACACTGAAGGAGGAGGCCAGGCTCAGGCTTGGGCCAGTGGGCACGGGAGGAAGCCCCAGGGAGGACTGGCCGGGCTCCCTCCTTAGCGGGCCAGGCCAGGAGGCTGGGTCTCAGCCGGCCCTCCAGCCTCTGCCACCTGCCTCAGGTCATTCTCTGACTGTTGAGTTCACCCAGGTCTCCTGGCCACTCCTCATTTCTCTCCTCAAATTCCTGCTCACCTTTTAAGATCAGCCCAGCCTGCAGGGGGCCGGGCTTCAGGCTCCTCACTCCTGGGGCCCTCAGCCAGCGTCACACATACCCTCAGCACAGGCTCTTACCTCCACAGAGAGCAGAGCCCTAATGAACTCGCGTTTCCCTTCTGTGCACAACAAGGGGAACAGGCTGTAGACGTCTCGCGGGAATCCCAGCCAATCAGACCGTCTGAGGTGTCGGTGGGCACACAGGTTGGTTTCCTCGCTTTCCTCAGCGACACTGACCATAACGGCCATTGACATGCCCCTCACCACCTCTCTGAGCCTCAGTTTCTTCTCCAGTAAACTGAAGCCGTAACCAGCCACCTCAGGAGGTTTTGGTGAGAATCAAATAAATGAAGGGACGTAAGTGCTTAGCACAGGGTAGGTCCTCATAAAGGCTAGCTCCCACTAAAAGAAGTAGTCAGTGATAAAACTCTTTTTTTAAGAGATAGCTATAAGTAAATAGAGGGAGGAAGATTCATTGATGATCACTAGTAATTCATTCTGACCACAACCTTAAATAAGAAATAGATGCATCTTACATTATGATCCAGTTTCTCCGTATGCAAACACACAGACGCGTATAACTGAAATAACTGAAATATCGCAAAACACAACACCACCCTCACTGCCATAGCCTGTTATTTTCTATTCTGTTCTGTACTGATCTACAGTGTTCTCAGACCCTCTCATTTTTTTAAGACAATGCTAGTGACAAGCCACTAAATTGATTTCATAACCAATCTGCATGTTGGAAATGCTTAACCAGACTGTAGTCATAACAGCCGGAGACAGGAAAATAGGCTAACAGCTCCCAGTCACATTGGGAACAACAGGGGGTGGAGACAAAACCCGAAGTGTCTTCTGCAGACGGTTCATCCCTAAGCGCTCCCACAGATGTCCCTCTTCCCGCAGGCGGCTTGTGCACAGACACTTTTCCACAAACAGCCCTCTCTGCTTATTCCCCCCCACGGACTGCATCCTCTTCACGGACCAGGGTCTTGTCTCTGCATTGCACACGGAGCAGGGCTCCGTTACTAAGCATGCTGAGTGCCTACACGCTGTACTCGGGCTAACGTTGTGCTAACTCGGGTGGAGGGAGGCAAACAGGGCTAGTGGAGGGCCCACCTGCCGAAGGCCTTCCCGATGGCGGAGGGCCGGGCCTCGTAGTAATATTGCTTGTATTCGTCCATCCACACCTCTGCAGTGCGCTTGGTATTCCTAAAGGAGAGGAAGGAGCAAAAGAAGGTCACCAAGGCGGCGACAGAGGTAGGGTTAGGACCAAGATCAGCTCTGTGCATTGATGAGACCATGGGGTGGGGAAAATCTCAGGAGAGGATGCAGAACAAGACTGATTGGGATGGTATAAATGAGCATAATCTTTTTGGAGAACAATCTGTCAATATCCACCAACTTATGTATACTCTGACGCTCCACTCCCAGGAATCTATTCTACCGACAGACCTGCATGTGGGCAAGAAGGACGTGTACAAGAATATTTGTTTAATAAACATTGGCAACCACCTAAAGGCCCATCGGTGGAGGATGATGAACTACTTCTACATGACGGAGTACTGGGCCACCTTGGACAACAATGCCACGCTTGATAAGCACTGATGGGGAAAAATGTCTGTAATTCAGTGGTAAGTGGCAGGACAGTGTGCTGCATAAAATCACAGAGCAGGATCCCATTTACATAAAAACACAAACCCACGGTGTACATGCATCTCTCTCTCTCTCTCTCTCTCTCTCTCTCTCTCTCTCCCTCTCTCTCTCTCCATGAACTGTAATGTGAAAATGTATGAAAAGGCCTGTGGCTAAGGATATGGATGGGCAGACGCTGACCAAGTCAGAGTCAGGACATGGCGTCCGTGCCATGTGAGTGGGGGCAGCTCCCAGTCGGTCATTTGGCTGGTTTTCCAAGACCCTCAAGGACAAAGATAGTCAAGGCAACAGCCCAACTTCATCCTTCCACCCTGAAAGTACTTGGGAGGGGGGGTGGGGAACCAAGGCCCAGAGAGTGGGTGGCTGCCGAAGTCATCGACAGGACTGGCTCCCAGCTCAGAGCTCTTGGTTCTGTGACCTACCTGATGTAGGTGAGGGCGTTGCCCTCGGGGAAGTTGTAGGGATGCCGTTTCCTGAAGACATGGCCCACCCGGCTGCAGGGCACGATCTCCAAGCTCCCTCCGCACATCCACACCCTGAAGGAGAGCTCTGTGGGAGAGGGGAAGGGAGAGGGAGTGTCAGGAGGGGAAGGGAGAGGGAGCGTCAGGAGGGGAAGGGAGAGGGAGCGTCAGGAGGGGAAGGGAGAGGGAGCGTCAGGAGGGGAAGGGAGAGGGAGCGTCAGGAGGGGAAGGGAGAGGGAGCGTCAGGAGGGGAAGGAGCCTGTGGGCAAGTCCTGCTGCATGAAGATGGGGAGGGGGCTGGCCTTCCCTTTCCTCCTCGTGGTCCTCACTGGAGGCACCCTTGCTTGGGGTCGGAGCTCGAGCGTCAGGAAGGGAAGGGAGA